ACACAGTGAGTTCATGGGCCTGTAAGAACTGTTGCCTGAGAAAAAGTGAGGAAAAAAATGACATGAGATCATTGATCAGAACGATGTACATCTACACTGAAGAAGCGAATATATGTTCACAACACTGCAACTGTGTGAGTACAGCATGCAGTGAGTAGAGAATCGAGAAAAGTCAGAACTAAGGGGAACAAGATCGCCTAAAGACGACCTCATCACAGCTATCAATAGAATCCGAGGATCTCGATACCACACAAGCTGACTTCCAAGTCGTGACTTGGAATCGACCGATAATACTACGGTGGAGTAATTTAGGAGCACTGTTATGCTCGATGTCAGTACACATGAAACGGCCTATGCGACGGACTTCTTGGGGTACAGTCAGCGAGCGCTTATAGTCCGCGATGCCATAAGCATCCCGTTTATAGAGGATAACAACTGACAGCTCATTTGTTTCCAAAGAGGACAGACTCACTGCAGGCTCAAGATCAAAGCGGCCCCTACGATAGGATGATGCCGAGGAAACATTAGAGGTACTAACACAGCTATTGCCGGCCCTGTAGTGGCGAGGATGGGTCATGAGTAGCGCCGATAACGATGATGGGCAAGGATACTCCGATGGGGATGGAAATGAAATTATCTGACAAGTTGTCGATGATAACCCCGAGGAAAGGATTACAGCAACACTTCAGAAGAGGAGCCGAATCGCTCATGCCGACTCCTACAGCACTCTACGCACATACCAAATCGATAATGAGTCTATTACATACGAGCAAGTTCCACCTAAATAATGAGACACGCCTTGAGTGTACCTTGAGTAGCCTCAAGTGAACCCAGCATAAGGCGACTTGAAGTAAGTACTCTACTAAAAGAGGCTCAATCTATATTATAATAGAAAAACATGCAACGGTTGTCATCGTGCGTCAGCTTCCACTCTCCTCTCTGCTCATAGCGTTGTTTTCTCCGAGCTTTCACATATGTATACAGCAGCCGTATTACAGCTGCGTGTCCTGCGTATTCTCGCATCCTTCGCACATTCCCACATCCAATTCCTGCGTTGATTCAACTCTAAATCGTTGATCTTTCTGCGTATCTTTAAATCTTAAAACGTCCTTGAAATAGCTTACGAAAAAAAATCGATTTTCGCGCACAATCATATCGGCCTTCGCTTATTTAAAGAGGGTAATACCGTTCAATACTACTATGTGCCGCTGGGTATTATCTCAGCTCACCTAAGCTGTATACTCAGTTTGATGCTACCACCAAGCATTGTTGTTGCTCATGCGTGCAGCGGACCGCACCATGCGGCACGCAAACGCATAGCTTTTCCCCCTTTTCATAGAGCGAGGTATAACACTTCGTGGAGATTACCTAAGTATCACAACCACTATCAATGTCATCACCGAGATTATTGAGTTCTGAGGTTACTGAGTATGAGCTAGAGGAAGGTACACTCAGGGTATTATTACTATCTCTTAAACCAATTAGTATGTATGTCATCCACACATTTCCGGCTACAGGTGAGTCACCTTGTTGCTGTGCGCGACTAGGGTTAGTAGCACCTTGTCGTGTTGCTGTGCGCGACTAGAGTTAGTAGCACCTTGTCGTCTTACAGTTCTTAGCATTAGCTATAGCACGCATGCTCTAGGTGTAGTCGAACAGGGTCTTCAAGTTCTTATTCCCATTGTCATAGTCAATACCATCACTAAGACGACGTTGTTGGGTTAATTATGAGATCGACCAGGAGCAACAACCTGAGGTGACCATGCATTGTTTAGGCTTAGATTATAAACCATGTGGAGAATCTGTTCGCTTTATCAAGACGCCAATGAAATTGATGCCCCTGATGACTAATGTGACTAATGTCATAGATTCATTGATTATGTTGACGAAGAACAACAAGTTACCGGTCTAGAACTACTCATGCAGCATAATAATGTAAGCCTGATTTTTCAAGCTATTATAGGCTATAATAGGAACGGTGAACTGACACTAAGCTGTGGCCATCTACCACCTGCAGAGGCGCACGCTCGATATTTTTGATTAGTATCTCAAGTGGCGCTCACCACGCATCAAGATAAAACGATGAAGCCATCAAGGCTTAGTAATTAAGAGATAACAAACATTCAAGCCATTCTTTACGACCTTGCGTTATGTCTGCCCCCAGCAAAGAAAAAGCTGAGAACCATGCACCGGTGCACTGCATGCCGACTAACCTCTCATGACTGTTTT